GCAGGAGCAGTACAAACAGTGCGGAGCCCAGGCCCTGGGTCAGGGCGGGGCAGTGCAGAGTCAGAGCTCAGGCCCTCAGGCAGGGCTGAGCAGTGACAGTACAAGCAATAGGAAGCCCAGGCCCGGGGCCGGGTGGGGCAACAATGAGTCAGGGGCTCAGGCCCTCAGGCAGGGCTGAGCAATAACAATAGGTCCCAGCCTCCTCAGGCCTGGGAGCGGGGGGGATGCAGGCGCTCCCACTTCACTGCGTCCCAGCCTGGGGCCCTAGCAGTGGCAGAAGACCCACTGCTTAGTCAGTGGGGATCCTGGCCGCAACACACTGACATGGGCTCTGGCAGTGCTGCAGCCAGACTAGGGTCGGCTGCCCCGGGCTACTTCCAGACTCCCCCTTGGGTAGTACCTGGGTCAGGGTGTTGTCCTCTGGGGGGTCCAGAACCATAGGTTCCTCAGCGAGCGGCAGGCCTGGCAACTCCTCCGGGTAGCGGGCACAGGGCAGGCGTGGCAACTCCTCCGGGTAGCGGGCACAGGGCAGGTCCTGGCGGCTGCCTTGGGCCGCGGGGTTTTCCCAGTCGTGGGCTAGGCTGGAGGCGGCTGGCCTCTCCGGTGGCTGGGGCCTTACTGAGCTCTGAGGGCGAGCCTTTATACTTCCGGGTCACCGCCTGACCCTCTGAGGGGCGGGCTCAGAGCTCCCTAGCTCCGCCCACTCCGGCCTCTGGATGGGCTTTTCCCTCTCCAGGGCGGCGGGGAACCACAACGCCTCACTACAGTGGGTTATATAGATTGTTGTAATTAGCCAGAAATCCAGTGTCTTTATGAAGTTCATGATTTTTAGTATCTAGCAAAGTTATGAATGTAGGCTCCCCGGCTCGTTGTTTGAAGGTGTTGTGCAGGTTTCCTTTGAGGATGGGGACTGGGAGGTCAGATAGGGAGTGATCGCTTTGTGAAAAGTGTTTGCTCATGAGTGATAGTGTTTTTGTCTTTTATCACTTTTCTGTGCGAGTTCATTTGAGAGCGCAGTGATTGTCTGGTTTCACTCACACAGTTGTTGGGGCATTTAGTGCACTGGCTGAGGACACCACATGTTGTGACAGGCATGTGTAGGACTCCTGGATCTTGAGTGGTGTGTTGTGGGGCGTATTGATCATCGTAGCAGTGGAGATATGTCTGCAAGTTTTGCATCTGTTGTTCTAGTAGGGTCTGGTGCTGCTTTGTGTTTGTGGGGCCTGGTCTGTGGGGAGCTTGTTTCTGATGATGACCTTGGCGAGGTTGTTTGAAGGCCAGTATGGTGATCTTGTATATATTGTGTGTAAGGCTATGTTGTTGAAGTTGATGCTGGGAGCTTTCCAGAGAGAGTTTAATGTACGGGTGGTGGTGGTTGTAGTTGTGGTGGAAATTTATGAGGGGGTTCAGTCGTATTTGCATCCTCTGGACAGACCATCGATGTATCTCAGGAATATCGTTGGTTTCGTGGTGCATTTGTTCAGAAATTCTTCTTCAGCGTGGCCCCTGAAGAGGTTGGCATACTGGGAAGCCGTCCTAGTACCCATGGCTGTTCCCAGGGTCTTTGGACAAAGTGTTGCTGATGTAAAGTTGTTATGAGTGAGGGTGAAATAGATGAGTTGTCCATTGTAGATACTGGAGCCAGGTCGTGATGCTATCATTGGGAGCAATGTTGGTGTATAAGGAGGTTACATCCATGGTGGCAAGGGTGGTATTCTGAGGGAAGTGGTTAGTGTTGCAGAGTTCCTGGAGGAAGTTGGTTGTGTCCAGGAGGAAGCTGGCCCTTTGCGTATTGAGTGGTTTGAGGATGGTTTCTGTGAGTACTGATATCCCTTCAGTTAGAGTGCTGTGGCCAGATATGAAGGGTCTGCCCGGGTCCCCTTGTTTGTGTGTATCTTGGGAAGCAGGTAGAAGGTCCCTCGGGCGGATTCGAGAGGGATGAGGTTGAAGAGTTTCTCTTGGAGTTGTTTGGGGAAGGATTTGGTAGTATCCTTCAATTCCTGACTGAACTGTGGTGTGGGGTCTTCTTTGAGTTCTTTATAGCAGCGAGTGGTGGAGAGTTGCTTGTCATCATTAACATAGTTGTCATGGTGGAGGACTGATGGCACTCCCTTTGTCTGCTGGTCTGATCACTATCTGGAGGTTGGGTTTCAGAGACTGTATAGCTGGTGGAGTGATAGTCGAGCAATAGTGGTGGATGTGCTGTTTAAGGATTTCACAGTGAACTTCCTGAAGCAATCAATGTAATGATCAAGTGTGTGGTTTCATCTGTTCTGGGGTGTCCAGTCAGATGATTATTTTTGTGTATGACTGTCAGTGGGGACCTAGTAATTATGGGTGGTGGTGGTGATGTGGAAGAATTCTTTGAGATGGAGTCAGTGAAAGAATTCTTCTAGCTCTCCAGGTGTTAGTAGGCTGTCAGGTTCCGTGGCAGGGACAAGTTCAGTCCCTTGGAGAGTACAGATAATTCAGCTCCAGTTGGGGTAGTCTTGATAAATTGATGATGTTGGGGGTGTGGCGTAGTGTCCACTTGGGTCTTGGTTCTATGGTTTCTCCAAGAGGTGGTGTTCTGTGGGTTGTGGAGTTGTGGTTGGTTCCACTTTTAGTTTTGGATGGCTGTCCTCGGGGTTTTTGATAGTTGTTTTGGGTTTCTTGCGTAATCTCTAGGTTCCTGATTTTTTTTCTTCCAGTATGTGGGAGAATGTGGTGATTCCTGGTTTGAGGTAGCCCCTTCTGGAGAACGTAAGGTACCAGAGATAGTTCCCCAGTTTTTCTGAAGTCCTTCTGCAGAGTTGGTCAGCATATTTGGAGTTGTATGTAGGGGCCTGAGGGTAATAGATGGTGAGTCCTCTGGGAATGATTTGCTCAGCTATTAAGTTTTGCTTCCTTTTTCATCTTCTTGTGGACTTTCCGTTTCCATTTGGGGGGCACTACACAGTATTGCCACTAGATGGTGCCAAAACTTAATGCATCTGTCCTAAACTAGCCTCACATGCAGTATTATCCATTTAAGGGTACAGGAGGCACTTTCATTCCTCAACGGTGCTGGAAACTTTCACATTACAAATATGGTATGTTCTATTCAACATGGGGCGACACTATTATTTATTTGTATTGCGGTGGCTTTCAGAGGCCCCCAGCTGAGATCAGGCCCCCATTGTGCTGGGCACTTCACAGACAAATAGTAAGACAGTCCCTGCTCCTTAAAAGCTTGCAGTCTAAATAGATGAGAGACGCAGTTTTTATCTCTGAAGTGCTACAAACCATGAGGTTCCAGTCACAGTTCTGACCCGTGCATCCCCTGAAAAAGCCACCAGGGAGACTGATTGTACAACAGGCCAACTTCTCAGGGGAAACATTGGGCCACAAGCCAAAACTAAAAGCTGCGGCTACAGATCTACAGAGCAAGCTGTGTAGCCTGCAGGAGTCACTGCAGGGCTGCTGGAGTGGGAGAGGCATAGGCCCTTCTGAGACACAGTGTCACTTGAATTTCCTATTCAATTCGAAGAGACCATGAGCCGTCTTTGGCAGCTGGCCTTGGTTTGGTGCCTATGTAGATTAACTCTGCGTTGCGATTTCTAGTGTCTCAGTTTCAGATCATAGGTTTTCTTGTGCTGGGGAAGTAGCAATAGCTGCAAACGCTGTAGAAAAACAGTTCACAAATGGAGCTGGCTGATGTGAGATGAACACTTGATGCTGCGCAGCAGACTTGGTTTTGTATGGGGCTGGTGGTGCAAAGATGTCCCAATCCCTCACCTGCTGCAGAGCTAAGCGTCAAAGCTGGAGTTATTCTAGCGAAATTGGTTCAGTTCCAAAGCTCCCCCTCACCAAGGCCTTCATCCTACCAGGAAAGTCATGCAGGCAAAGTCCTGTGGGTTTCCTTGCAGGATCAGGGCCAATGTCCTCATACAATGTAGCAGGGTTAGTCTTTTCTTAGTAGCTGTTGAAGATTGCAATGGAAGGCGATGCAGGTTGGGGCTGGGATGACAGTGTATCCTTAGAGGGAACTTGCACTATGGCTAGCTGTAGGCAGTGCACACTATATTAACTCTGGGCCCCATCTCCCAAAATGTGCGGGTTAGGTCCATCCGTCCTGTGGTGCTTTGCTGTGCTAACCCAGGTGGTTCTGTCCCCACCTCCCCTCAGCCAGCAGAGGAGAAGGAGCAGCTGCTGCAAAATGATGAGTACCAGGAGACAATGGTGGAATCCACCTTTATGTACCTGACCCTCGACCTCCCCACTGCCCCGCTGTACAAGGACGAGAAGGAGCAGCTGATCATCCCCCAGGTGCCGCTCTTCAACATCCTGGCCAAGTTCAACGGCATCACTGAGAAGGTAACTCCGCCCCTTCCCTGACTCTCCTGCTCTGCTGCCCTCCTGCCTCTAGAAGTAGGTTCCCTGCCGCCTGTCCCTGTTAGACTCTCCTGCTCTGCAGTGCTACTTGTGTTTGAGGGGCCGCAAATCTGCTAAGGCACCTGGCAGATCTAAGGCAGCGTTGTTGGTGCTGGCAGGGCAGAGCGTGGGCTGGTGTGCTCTCCTATCCTTGTGGGTGCCTCTGCCTTGGCCATGTGTGGGTCTCTGGTTGCTGAGGGTTGTGTGTCTCTGTCCTTGCTCCAGGAGTATAAAACCTACAAGGAGAATTTCCTCAAGCGCTTCCAGCTGACCAAGCTGCCTCCCTACCTCATCTTCTGCATCAAGCGGTTCACCAAGAACAACTTCTTTGTGGAGAAGAACCCCACCATCGTCAACTTCCCCATCACGTAGGTACCGCCTGGACCCGGCTGGGGGGCTGCAGCTCCGGCTGTGCTTTCTAGGGAAAGTCCCTTGCACTCGCTCTGAGAACAGGGTTTGTCTGCAGAGGATGAGACCCAATGCAGCCCGTCTCCAAGTGGCAACAGATGGGCGTTGGCGCCTGAATGGCGCTGCCAGGAGCTGGTGCAAATTGCACCTTTGTGGGATATATTGGTTGGGTGCTCCCTGTTCCTCTAAGGATTCCCTCCAGGCGTTGGTTGGCAGCTAGGCCCGTTTGGCTAGAAACACACTACTTACGTGTGACAAAGAGTCCTGTGGCACCTTATAGACTAACAGATGTCGTCTGACCAAGTGGTTATTCACCCACGAAAGCTTATGCTCCAATACATCTGTTAGTCTATGAGGTGCCACAGGACTCTTTGTCGCTTTTTACAGATCCAGACTAACACGGCTACCCCTCTGATACTTGACTACTTACATGGACACTCGACCCCAGCAAACAGCCCTGTTTAGCAGATGCTTCCCCTGTACAGACCATGCAGTCCTGTGCTGATACCAATGGAAGGAGAGGCTTGTGGGTAAACATAGGACTGGGACTCCGGAGACCTGAGATCAGTTCCTGGTTCTGCCACAAACTCCCTGTGTGACCCTGGGCCAACCCCTGTCTTGCCGTGCCTTAGTTTCCTCATCTGTAAAATGGGGGTGATTCTTCTCTGCCTCCTAGGGGTCTGGTGAGGATGACCTCGGCACTCTGTGAGGTGCTCGGGGGGGACTGTAGATACTGACACCAATGGAGCTCAGCCTTGTGAGGTCTCGTTTGGGCCCCCTGTGGCTGCAGTGCCACGTGCAGTCGGCTGTTCTGCACCTGGAGCTTGTAGGCCGGCATGTTGTGTGTCAAGGTGGAGATGACCTTATACAGCTGGGGTGGAACTCCCTGTTTGAATGGGTGCTAGGGCGGGGTGGCACAACACATCTGGTTATGACTAACGGGGAACGTGACATTTAGCTACTGCCCTTGTCCGGTGGCCGGTAAAGTCATCTTTCTCTTTTGCTTTGAGTATTAAAAATGATCTGTGCAGCTTCCAACTGAACTGTGCAGACTGTCTTGGCCAGAGCACGTCCTCCCTACTTGGTCTAGTGCAGTGCCGGGTTATCTTCTGTGGTGCTGGTGATCCAGCCTTGCATGGCACTAGACGAGACAGAATAGCGGGGTGCCTGGTTCTGATTTACATGCGTGTGGGGCTGACGCTTGGTGACTGCAATCGCAGCTAGCTAAGGAGTTGGCCCCCTGGGCATCAGCATGCAACGTACAGGGGCACACTGGAACTCCCGGCCTTTTTGGGGCCTGGTGCAGCTTGCCCCTTGTGCTCACAATGCTGCTGTTCCTCCTGCTGCAGGAACGTGGATCTCCGGGAGTACCTGTCCGAGGAAGTGCAGGCCGTGCACAAGAACACCACCTACGACCTCATCGCCAACATCGTGCATGATGGGAAACCCACCGAGGGCTCCTATAGAATTCACGTGCTGCATCATGTGCGTGACCGAAGGGGCGGAGTTCAGTGTCTGCTGGCAGCGTGGGGGCTGGAGCAGCATGCAAAGCACCCTAGTCCCTGCTAGCCCAGTAGCTTGGGGTGTGACCGCTCTAGTCTCTGGGGATTTAGCCCATGCAGAGGATTGCTGACGCTAGCTCACTGCCTAAGGCTGATCCCTTGCAGCTGCTCTAGCAGGGAGCTGAGTAGCCCTCCCCGGTTCGTTCTCCAGCCTGCACAGCAGCCGAGGGCAGCACTTGAGGCTTGCCCAAGCAGCTCTGCTCCCTGAATAGCCCCACAAGTGAGCTCAGGTAGCAGCTGGCCGTAACCTGCTCCCCCAGTCCAGACTCATCCTGATGAGACGTGCTGGGAAAGCAGAGCGCCCGCCGCTGGGCTTCGGGGCTCATCGCTTTGTGCCCATGGGGATGGTTGCTCGGGGAGCTGGGGAGAATTTCCTAGTGCAGGCTTTGCTCTGTTGCATGGTGAGGCCAGACAGTGGCTCAAAGCAACAGGCTGGGCAGAGTGGATGTCTGGAGCCCGGTGTGTCAGAACTAGCGCCACGGTAAGACCTGCTGTCATAACTCTCCTCACCCTTTTGCAATGGCGTTTGGCAGGGCACGGGCAAGTGGTATGAGCTGCAAGACTTACAGGTGACCGATATCCTGCCCCAGATGATAACGCTCTCAGAGGCCTATATCCAGGTGAGTGCATTGCTGTCTGTTCCACTGCATGGGGTGACTCGTTCCACCTGACCAGGTGATCTCTGCTGACGGCGTAGGGCCGTACAAGCTTTGCCTGGCTTTTCAGCTGTCCCAAGTCTCTGCACAACATGGCAGATGTGAGTTGCTCTTGCAGAGCTATTTAAAGAAAACTTGCTTGTGCTGCAGCTGCTCTAGCATCATCTCCTCTAGCACAGGCTGAAGGAAGTGGTGGTCCCTGTGGGGGGGAGGAGGGCTGTATGTGTGATGAGTCATTCATTGCATACGGTAAGTGCTGACCCGGTGGTGCAATGATGGGACATGTGGGAGGCATTGCTGTCACATCAGTGTTGGTGGCCATGTTCCTGTGGCTCTAGTGCACATACCCATGATAAAGACAGTGCTGTTGCACTCTGAGATGCAGCGGCAGCCCACAGGCTCTGATCAGCAAGTCAGTAAAAACTTCATGTGATAAATGATGTGGTAGAACAAAGGTGTGGGGGTGATAAACTTCACAAGCAGTCAGTGTCTGAGTCCCTGCCCACAGAGGGGCCTACAGCAGCCTTGTGTGTCCTGAGGCACGGCGTGGGAGGGGCAGCCTGTATTTAGAAAGTGGAGCTCAAAGTAATACTTAGCGCTTCTCATCTGTACTGCTCAAAGGGTGGCTGGATTGTCCAGTGGTCAGGTCACTAGCCTGGGGCTAAGGAGAGCCAGGTTCAATTCCTGGCTCTGTCACAAACTCACAAGAATGGCCAGGCTGGATCAGACCCATGGTCCATCTAGCCCAGTGTCCTGTCCTCTGACAGTGGCCAGTGCCAGGTGCTTCAGAGGGAATGAACAGAACAGGGCAATTATTGAATGATCCATTCCCATCATCCAGTCCCAGCTTCTGGCAGTCAAAGGCTTAGGGACGCCCAGAGCATGGAGTTGCGTCTCTGACCATCTTGGCTAATAGCCGTTGATGGACCTATCACCCATGAACTTATCTAGTTCTCTTTTGAACCCAGTTATATTTCTTTTGGCCTTCACAACATCCCCTGGTAACAAGTTCCACAGGTTGACTGTGAGTTGTGTGAGGAAGTACTTCCATTCTTTGTTTTAAACCTGCTGCCTGTTAATTTCTTTGAGTGACCTCTGGTTCTGGTGTTATGTGAAGGGGTAAATAACACTTCCCTATTCGCACTCTCCACACCATTCATGATTTTATAGAACTCTATCACAGCCCCCGTTATTCGTCTCTTCTAAATTGAACAGTCCCAGTCTTTTCAATCTCTGCTCGTATGGAAGCTGTTCCATACCCCTCATTGTTTTTCATAGATTCATAGATTCTAGGACTGGAAGGGACCCCGAGAGGTCATCGAGTCCAGTCCCCTGCCCTCATGGCAGGACCAAATACTGTCTAGACCATCCCGGATAGACATTTATCTAACCTACTCTTAAATATCTCCAGAGATGGAGATTCCACAACCTCCCTAGGCAGTTTATTCCAGTGTTTAACCACCCTGACAGTTAGGAACTTTTTCCTAATGTCCAACCTAAACCTCCCTTGCTGCAGTTTAAGCCCATTGCTTCTTGTTCTATCCTTAGAGGCTAAGGTGAACAAGTTTTCTCCCTCCTCCTTATGGCATCCTTTTAGATATCTGAAAACTGCTATCTTGTCCCTCTCAGTCTTCTCTTTTCCATACTAAACAAACCCAATTCTTTCAGCCTTCCTTCATAGCTCATGTTCTCTGGATCTTTAATCATTCTTGTTTCTTTTCTCTGGACCCTCTCCAATTTCCCCACATCTTTCTTGAAATGTGGTGCCCAGAACTGGACACAATACTCCAGTTGAGGCCTAACCAGCACAGAGTAGAGTGGAAGAACGACTTCTCGTGTCTTGCTCACAACACACCTGTTAATGCATCTCAGAATCATGTTTGCTTTTTTTTGCAACAGCATCACACTGTTGACTCATATTTAGCTTGTGGTCCGCTATAACCCCTAGATCCCTTTCTGCCGTACTCCTTTCTAGACAGTCTCTTCCCAATCTGTATGTGTGAAACTAATTGTTCCTTCCTAAGTGGAGCACGTTGCATTTGCCTTTGTTAAATTTCATCCTGTTTACCTCAGACCATTTCTTGCTGTTAGTTTGTGTCTCCTTAGCAAGTTGCTGTTCAAATTCTTTCTTGGCCTGCCTTATTATACTTCTACACTTGTCTTGCCAGAGTTTATGCTTCTTTTTATTTTGCTTAGTAGGATTTGACTTTCAATTTTTAAAGTATGGCTTTTTGCCTGCATCTGCCTCTTTTACTCTATGTAGCCCTGGTGGCATTATTTTGGTCCTCTTATTGTTTATTTTATTTGAGGGTGTACATTTAGTTTGGCCCTCTATTATGGTGTTTTTAAATAGTCTCCATGCAGCTCGCAGGCATTTCACCCTTGTGATTGTTCCTTTTAATTTCTGTTTAACTAGCTTCCTCGTTCTTGTGTCGTTCCCTTTTTTGAAGTTAAATACTACTGTGATGGGTTTCTTTGGTTTTTTCCCCCCTACAAGGATGTTAAATTTATGGTCTTTTATTATCGTGGGTTCAGCTACACCTCTACCCCGATATAACGCTGTCCTCGGGAGTCAAAAAATCTTACTGTGTTATAGGTGAAACCACGTTATATCAAACTTG